AATAATTTCTAGCTCAACTCTAATTTTTTTTTTTTGTTTGTTTTGATCTTTTTATTTTCCCTTTTAGACAGGGTTTCATGTAACCTAGGCTGGTCTCAAATTCAGTAAGCAGTTGAGGCTGGTCTTGGACACCTGATCCTTCTGTTTCCACCTTCCAAATGCTGGGATTTTCAGGTACGCATTACCATCCCTAGCTTTCAATCATAAATTTTAAACGAAATATTTCAAACTAAGGCTGTGGCTCTGAGGTAGAAAGGCATGCATTGTAAAAGAGTTGGCTAGGACAGCACGGGGGAACACTGTCCACCATCAAATGCAGAAGATAAATATATGAGAAGACACCTGGAGCACTGCTTGGAGCTGAGCCTCCCAGTAGTCCCCTGCCCATCTTCCCCAGCCCTTTCCCCGCCGCCGGCCGCACCTTGGGCTGCAATCTGTGCTCCTGGGGCACCCGGTCCACGAACTCCTCTGGCAGCTCCACGGGGCCCTTGTCCGCGATGAGCTGTGGCACGTTCGGCAGCGGGCTGCTGAAGGAGATGTCTGGGAGGTAGAGCGCCTCCTGGGCTGCGCTCGGCATGTCGCAGTGTGGCAGGAAGGGCTGGATGTCGTTCAGTGTGCTTGCCACCTGCGGGGACCGCAGGGCGCACCATCAGACCTTGGTTAGCTCAGGCTTCAGAGGAACTGGTCAGGGCCAGCCAGCCACCCCAAGCCCCACTCAGACAAACTGGGGCCGAGCAGGTGAATTCTCCTGGTCTGTAGCTTATCAATACTCTCTTAAGCTAAACTTAGTATTTTGATCTCTAACAAGATCAGAAAATTAAACATAATTACAGAAAACTGAATAAGCTAGATACCTGAAATATGTAAATGTCATTTATCTTTTACTAAATTCATAGTAATAAGATACAAACCATGGGTACTAATATCTACAAGTGTTCACAGGCATTGGGTACGAACTCAGTTTTTACATAAAAAAGATTGATAAGGTAATGGGGTGAAGAATGTTTGAGAAAGCTTTTGCTATTATTGTTTTATTTTGGTGTACAGTTATATGAATTGTTTTATATTTATATGTTTTGGTTCATTTAACTAACATTTTTAAAAGATACTATATTAAGAGCTGTGGCGGACATTGATGTGAAAAGATATACATACATTTTTGCCATTTATATACACAGTGATTTTTACTGACAAATGTTACATATTACATACATGAATAAATATGAAAGACCAAGACAATAATGAGAAAACAAAATTGCACACATGATATTTTAAGTAATTGACAAAACAATCTTATAGGTTATGAAAAAACTAAAGCTACCGAAGTACAGGGTTTTGTTCTGGTGCATTGACACAGGAGATACATGTTTCTCTGCACTAACCGATTTTAATTTACTCAGTAGGAATGATAATAAAATATACCTATCAACAAAAAGCGAAAGAATTTACAAAGGAAAAGACTGTGCTCTAAATAAACATTTTTAACATATTACACATGCATATTTAAAGAAACATTGTTATGCTATAAACTAACATTAAACAGTCAAAAGAAAAACCAAGAAAAATCAATAAAATAAGCACTTTTAAGACAGTCATCCTCACACAAGTTCATACGGTAGTGCTCTAATATTTTTATGTACGCATTATACGCAAGTTAAGAATAATACCACATCTCCCCCACCACATGAAATGATACCACCCTTACAGGAAAAAAAACCAATCATTTTAAGAAATCAGAAAATTCACCTAATTGAAAACCCTAAATTTTATGTCTGTGACACTGACATGAAATTATGATTTACATTTAAACTCAGTATATCACTAGATAAATTCTCATATCAAGACAGTTTAAATGCTATTTTAATTGGCTATACCAATGAAAAAAGTGTCAAGGAGAGGTGTTTCAAAAGAAAAAAAGCTATGAAAATAAAAGTACTAAATAATTGCTTTCTATGATGTTTCAGATAGACATACATTTTTGCCACTATTGGCCCTTTTTTCCACTTTTTGACTTCATAAGGTGTCTCTCCTCCATGCCATGAATGACAATGAGACTAATTTTATGTTTTATGAGAATATTACATATGCATGTCTCCTAGCATCTTCATAAGCATTCTATAGAAGGATACTAGCAAAAGTATAAGATATATAATGCTACAAGCTTCTGTTCTACTAAAATTGAAGGGTTTTTCCCTTTTGTCAGGTTAACACACAGACTCATTTTGGAATGATAAATTGTGAGCTTGTTTGATTGTTTTCGTTCAACAAATACATGTTGAGTCTCATCAAGTGTCAACTTCTCCTCAAGGTGTAGGAGAGCACGGCTGACAAAAGATACTAGAGGAGTACTTACATGAGCCATACACCTACTGAGGACAATAGAGATATACAGATAAAGAAGAGAAATGTCACAAAGTTAAGATTAATCCTCAGAAAATGTAGACAGGGTTAACTATAAAGGACACTCTATTTGAGGTTTTAAGAAAGGTATCTATGTGGTTAAAACTTGAACTGGGATTTTTTTTTTTTTCATGAGATCTAAACTTACTACAAAAAATACCATGTAAACTCAGAAGTAAACAGCATTTCAGGCTACCGCAGAGGTCTCCTGATCGGAGCACCACTGACCTTTTCAAGAACTGGCATAATTACTATGATATGAGTAGAACTCCGGAGCAATCTGCAATAGCAGAGAGTAAGCAACATCCAGATAGGGAGCTCTGTATGCCAGTCCACAATTTAGTGTTTAAATCATTGTTGTAGGATTAACTGAAGAGAGGAAAGAGGAAGAAGTGATAGGGAAAGATATGGAAAGCATAATGATCTCTAAAATAGATCAAATATTTGCAGAAAAGATCAACTTCTACAGGAAGCAGATAATAGCAACTGATTGAATTGCATAGGTAATGGAATCAAGCATCTACTTCTCCAAAAAGACAAGTATCTGCATCTAAATGAGCAATCTCGCCACATAACAAGAGAAGAATATGCTCCAAACAGAGCTAAGCCACAAGGGATCAGGGATCTAGAAAGAGCAGGCTTGGATGAGGGAGGAGAACGACTTCATGGTGAAAAAAAAAACAAAACAGGAAATTAAATACATTTTTTTTCTTAATTTGGCAAAATAAGACCGTGAGGTGTTCAATGCAACTGAGGTATGGTGTGTTACATTTATCACCACTGCAAAAACAATCCGTTGTCACTGACCAGTGGTCGTAAAGCAAGAAGGCTTCACTACTACTAGAACACAGTCCTGAATTTTAACTTTTAAAACTTCTTGTACATAACATGTTTAAGATATCGTAAGCCTTCTGAGGATAAACCTCTTTGAACTGTAAACATAAATCCAATGTGTATTCTTGAGAACTATTGTAAGAATTAATCTTCAAAATAACAGTCCCATAAAAGTCTATACTCCATTACAAACTTGGAATCTTATATGGAGAAAGATTCCTTAAATCACATGCTACTAATAACCCCTGCTAAAAACTGTGCTCAGAATCTCCCAACATTCATGTGCTGAAGCTGTGATCAGAAGCTCACTCTGCCCTGGGGCCACAATTGTATTTGAAGCAGAAAGTCTTCCTGTCAGGTAAGGTGATATCTATACCTAGCATTCTCCACCTACTTGTATAAATCCTGCACACTGCTGCAAAAACAAGTCAGTTATCCTTTGAAGATGCTTGTCTTTAGATATTTGAAAGCATTTTTCACATTCTAGGCGTCTCCTTTGTTCTCTAGACTCTTAAAGAAAAAGAATTTATTTTTCAAAGCACAGATGAAAAATATTGGCAACTCATGGCATTAGCAGAGTGGGTTTGTGGCAATCCCCGCTTAAGCTCCCCCTCCCATCTGCATCTGTGACTACAGTTTCTAACTCTTGTTATATGACATTTTAAGATGTATCAAAGACAGTGTTCTGAAATAGGCAGCAACAATAAGGTGACTGCATCACAACCCTTCTTTGCAACCTTCACAGAAAGAGGAATTTCATTCTAATCCTTTTAAAATTGCATATGTAATAAGTCCTTGGTGTAAAATGGAGAATCTGTTATTTTAAAGTCTGAATTGCTGCAAAGATGATATTTGTTATGCATTATAAGTAGATGCATTCTTCCTATATCTCTGTCATCCAGTCACTTCCTAGTCAGATGCTTTTATCATTTAAGTACCCTGATTCTAGTGGATAAGCAGGAAATACAAAAATTATTAGTTTGTGGCACATTGAATTAATCAAATTCGTAATCCTACACTCATGTATAGTCAATGAAAGATCAAAGTACATCAGGATATAAAAGTTTTGGAATTCTGTTTTCATATGGAACAGAAGCCAGAAGCCAGAAGGAATATTAACAGAGGAAAAATGTTTTTGATATTTTGCTAGTAGTACCAGTATTTTCATATTATATATGGAATAGACGAGTGACATGAGCACCAGAGCCAGGCTTGGTGTGCATCTCTGTAATCCCAGCACTGGAGGTGGAGAATCAGGAGGAACATGAATTCAAGGCCAGCCTGGGCTACATAGCAAATATCTTCCCAAAACAGTAAAAAAGGAAGAAAGAAAGGAAAAGAGGGAGATAAAGAGGGAGGGGAACATCAGAAGAGGAAAGGATAAACATAAAAATATGAGAACTTGCCAGGTGTGGTGGCGCACGCCTTTTATCCTAGCACTCAGGCAGAGGCAGGCGGATCTCTGTGAGTTCGAGGCCAGCCTAGTCTCTCCATAGCGAATCCAGGCCAGGTAGAGCTACAGGGAGACCCTGTCTCAAAAAGACACACATACACACACACACACACACACACACACACACACACACACACACACACACACACACAGGCACACACACACACATACAAACACACACACATACACACACATATAAAAGAGAGAACTCAATGACATACACTTTCAGAAATCAACATATCTTACAAAAAAATTTAAATATGTATACATTGTTTTTAAAAGGATTTCAACTATTTCTGCTTTCTTTCTCAATTCAGTCAGCTACTCAGCTTCTTATTCAAAAAAAAACATTGGTCATTTACAGTGAGCTTAGAATGTAAATAAAACAATGAACCTTAAAACTACGGGCTAAATATTTCTGAGAGGGGTTTGAAGGCACATTGATTAGATTTCCAAGTGACTTAGCTTCCCTGAACTAAGCATACTTCTTGAAGTAATTTATTTTTGTGTTTTAGGTTATATTTGTGATGTCATTTTATTAATAAACTATGAATCACATAGAATTTAAAAGTACACTGATAAAACCATCATACCAAACTGCATTTCTTTTACCTTTAATTTTTGTCTTTGGATAAAACCATGCATGAACTCTTTCACAGACCTGTCTAACACTTTGTTTGAGCTATCTTTCTTAATAGGAAATCTTTTCCACACTTTTCAGGGTTTCTGAATGTTACTGCTTCCTAGTTTCATTCTTCCCACAATTATTCCAAACTCTTCACTATATATCTAAAATCTTCATCAAAAGTCATATTTTCCTTCTACTTTCAACTCAGATTTATTCTAAAGTGTGTGTTCCTATTGATTTTCAGGGTTTAAGCAAAAATAATATTGCTTTTTTCCCCCAATAACTTAAGATGTTTTAAGCTTTAATTTCT